ATGGTATGAATAAGTAGAATAATTTTAACTTTTTCAATTGTACAAAGTTCGGAGTAGGTGCATATTGTAAATACTTTTTTTTACAAAGTAAAAGAACGAGTTTCTTTAACTAACTTAGAAGCTTAAATAATTTTTTTTTTTTTCAATTGTATTTCTTCAAAACATAAACATTCTTCTTTGAAATTTTTACCGGGTATACATCGATTTCTTATATTTTTAATAAATAAATTGTACACAAAAATCGCTGGCTGTTATTGCTAATGATACTAGGAATAACCATTAATTTTCTCTCTATAACGGAGGATTGACAAGTAGTGACGTCACTACTCTTCTATGGAGGCACGTGGATATCGTTCTGCTCACTTTGAAAACGCACTGGCCGTAAAAATAGAACCATCTCAGGAATCATAGGTTGTAAAGTAAGATTTTTTTCGTAATTCCGAGTAGCTCATCAAAATAATAACATGCATCACAATTTCAAATTACCAAAAATTTGTCCGAAATAATTATTTATCCATTAGTGTTTTTTAATGAACGCAGACATCGATTTTCTTGCTTTAATTTTACGTAACTATTACAACTATTTAGAAATTTTAGTTTCTTGATTTATATCATATTACACACTGTCATTAAAATATGAAGTATAAGAAAATTTTAGTGTTTCGTTGAAATAATTTTTGTTATGTGTTAGGTAATGCGTAAAAAACGAGTAGATCTCTGTATTTGCAAAATTCATTAAAAAAAAAAAATATATATATATATATATATATATATACATGACAAAATTTATATCTAATCACTTTAGGAATCGGAATACACAAACAAGTACTGTAAGTTGATGCTAGTAATAACTGTAATTATATTAACACGATGTACAAGGTGTTACAGATAATTATGGAGTAATGCGTGGATACAAAAAACCAAGCGTACCTGAATCAATTACAAGTACGGTTCCAGTAATAATAATTAATTTACACACTTAATTCATTGTGCTACAATTAATTTTAATAATCAGCTAAAGCTGTGAGGACGTTTACTGCAAATCATCGTGCTTGCTATCAGCTCGCGCAGAGACGACTGCCTTTTTCAACCGCTGCTCGTCTTCAGCCTCTCTTTGTTGTTTGACACAACATCTAACCATCGTGTATAAGTTGGAGTAGTCTCACACTTACATCCCCCCACCCCCACCTGGAGGGATAAACGAGTGTTACTGCAAGGAACCTTCAGGAACGTAAGGAATCAATTTGCTTGCAGGATACATATTTGACTCTTTTATTTTAGAACGTGAGTCTATGATATGGATTAAATCAGGAATCATTTTCTTAATCTCAAACAGACCTATTCTAATCAGATCCATTTTTTTCCTGTTTAAGTGGTTTCCGTTTTGAATGTAAACAAGATCTCCGACTTCGTATTTCAGTTCGTGACGGTTTTTGTCATAATAAACTTTGTTCATATTATGTATTTTTTTCGCGTTTATAATTACTATTTTCTTATTATACTCTAAAATTTCTAAGTTATTTTCATTTAATTCAGTTAGACAAACTGATTTATCAACTCCATTCAAAATGTTATTAGGTGTAAGTTTTATTGTGCTATGTATTGTATTATTAAAATTTTCGACGCACTGTTCAGCCATGACTGACCATGGTTTATTTTTATTTTCGTAAATCTTGCACCTAATTGGATTTACTAATGTCTGATCAGTACCTTCATTTTTTCCATTTGAAAATGGACAATCTACTGTTGTAAACATGTTGGTTATTTTTTCTATATTTAGAAAATTTTTAAATTCTTTTGAGCTTATTCCAGCATAATGATCTTTCAGTAATAATTCAATTTTTCCTTTCTTTTTTACTTTTTTTATCAAATTAATAAAGTCCTTTCCTGTTTGTGTATTTGATGTTAGAATAAAAGCAAATTCAGTATTATGATCTACTACCAGATGTAAGTATTTTTTTGGCGAATTGTTTCCACTAAATCCACCTATTGTATCTAATGATACAATTTGAAAAGGCTTTGTTGCCGGACCTAATCGTGGAAGAAGTTAGATAAAGTTTTCAAATCTTGACTTATTTCTTATACAAATGTCACACGTTCTACATATGTATTTTATGTGCTTATGCATATTTTTGAAGTAGTATTTTGGAGTCAACGTCAAATTTAATTGTTTTACTCTTATGTGGTTTTCTTTGTATATAGATTAAATCAGTTTAACGCCTAAATTTTCCGATATCCATATTTTTTCTTTATTGTTTAAGATCTTGTAACAAATGTTATTTCTTTTTATTATTTTACCATCTTTTCTAATATCTAAATTTTTTCGATCATTTAATAATTTTTCTAATGATAAAAAGTTTACTATTTTTATTGCTGTTTCTTCATTTACGTTTTCTTCTAATACTGGACCTCGCGAGCAGCTATCTGCCTCAGTGTCATTTATTCTTGGATTATATTTCATTTCTAGATTTAAATTTTAAGTATAGTTTAGCAATCCTAATAATTCCGGATCGTTACTTTTTGTTATATTAAAATTTTCAATAGGCTTATAATCGGTGAAAATTGTGAATGATTTACCTATCAATTTATATTGCCAGTATACGATACACTCCTTTATTGCCAATAGTTCTAAGAAAATAGCACGTTTGTTTTCTTGAGATTTTGATAATTTTTTTTTAAAATACCATACCGGCTAAATCGTGTTATCCCTTTGAGGTATTTTCAAAATCGCCGCTACCCCTTTCTTTGATGCATCCGTAAAAATAAAAATAGGCATATTTGGATCAAAAATTGCTAATACTGGCTCCGAACTTAAATAATTTTTTTTTTCTTTAAAACTTTTTTGACATTCATCTGTCCATTCAAATTTTATATTTTTTCTAAGTAAGTTATGTAGAAGTTCTAATTCTACTGAAGCTTGTGGTATGTATTTTTGATAAAAATTAATTTTTCCCAGCAGTTGTCGCACAGTTTTTTGATTTTCCGGAGTAGGAAAATTTTTTTTTGCCACTAAGTTATCATTTGAAGGTTTTACCTCGTTGTCTTTTATCTCATGTTCCAAATAAATAACCGATTTTTTTGCGAACGTACATTTTTTTTGTTTTAATTTGAAATCTGCTTGTTCAACGGCAATAAGCACCTTTTTAATATGTTGTAAATAATCTTTGTAATTTTCTGAAAAAATCTAAATATCGTCTATGTAATTTATTGTAAAAAGATTCAATTCATTTTTCACTAAAATATCACTCAATATTCTTTGGAAAATTGCTGGTGACGATTTTAAACCAAAAAGTAAGCATTTCCATTCAAAATGACCATTTTAAGTAACGAAAGCAGATTCATATCTATCTGTATTTCTAATAGCTATTGACCAGGAATCTGAGTTTATGTCTAATTTTGTGAAAGACTTGCAATTACGGACCCGAATTACGATATCGTCGATAATTAGGAAAGGGTGACTGTCTGGTACAACTATTTTATTCAATACACTATAATCTACGCACTACCGTGATTTTCTCCCTTCTTCTTTTTTAAAAACGAATGTTGCCGGAGATACGAAGGGACTGGTTGAACGTTCAATTAAATCTGCTTCTAGTAAAGAGTCTTTCTGAGAATTGATCTCGTCATTATCCGCTATGGAACATTTGTACGGCTTATGCGCAATATATCTGTTTTCAGTAAGCTTAATAAATGCTTCATAGCCCTCTACTTAACCTACATTAAATTTATCATTTGTAAACAGATTTTAATATTTTTCTAATAATTTGTCCATTGAATTTTTATTATTTACATTTATCTTTTTAGTTCACATTCCGTTTTCAAAGCAATATTCTGTTCATTTGTTTCTTTTTGATAAGTCTTGAAATTTCTATTATGACACAATTTAAAATTTTTTATTGCATCTAAACCTAACAGAATATCGTCATGAAAAGAATTACTTTTTACAATATACAAACATATTGTCTTTGTTATTTAAAAAATTTTTGTTTTTAATTCTATTGCACCTCAAGTATTCGTTGTACCAGCAAACGAGTTAAATTTGTTTACTCTACTTATTTTCTTATTTGTTTTAGATTTTAATATTGTAGTATAATTTATTATAGAGACGTTTGCTCCTGAATCATAAATTGCGCTGACTGGAGAATCCTCTACAACTATTTTTAGTTTAATAAGTGAAGTCGTTATTCGTTTTTTTGACTCTTCAGAAGATGCTACACTCTTTTTTAAATTTGTATTATTTATTGTTTTTATTTTACTATTTTTTTTTTCTTTTTCTGAAATTTTTAACCTACAAACATATTCTGAGTGAAAACGATTCGGAAAACCTTTCTAAGCACAAAAAAAACATGCTTTTTTATCTATTTTTTCTTCTTGTTCTAATTTTGCTTTTGTTTTACTTTCTGATTCAGAAGGACTTTCTATTTGTTTTAAATTTGACATAAGATAAACAATATTAATCATATCTTTTCTTTTCAATTGAGTTTGAACTTTTCCTGGTAATCCCAAAACAATTAGATTTATTTGTGTATTTTCTAAAATTTTTGAATCAATATCTAAAAGCAGGTTTTTTTTTTTAAGCGCGTATTCTAAAAAATGATCATTTATATAACGGAAATTATACGCATATTTAACCTCTGGCAAACCTATTGTGTCAAATGTGTCTAAAAATGAGTTTTTCCAAAATTCCCATGGCTTATTTATCTTGTTTATTTTCAAAAAACTTTGAAAACAATCTACCGAGGAATCACAAAAAAAAAACAATTTTAGCAATTCAGAGAATTTCTCTTGATCAATTTCTAAACGATTACACTCACTTTTAAATGATTCCATAAGCTTACACGCGTTCTGATTTCGTCCGTTAAAATTTTCTAAAACCATGTCTTTTGCTCGTTTAGTCATGTTTACATGCGAAGCAATTTTAATGTTTTGATTTGGAAGGGTATTACGAACACTGAACTCTGGACACTCACTGAAATGAAATTCTTTGTAACATACATTACCTTCTTCGTCTAAATATTTATCTATAAGTTCCTCGCTTAATGTGACCATAACTTTTCGAAATTGTCCTCGTGAAGTTAACGATCTTGCTATATTCTTCACTATTGTACTTTTGAAAAATTTTTTATGAAATTCTTTTGTAGAAACCTCGTCTGAAAACTCATAAATTGTCTCCTCTCCTTCTAGTTAAATTGTTTTTATCTTTACAACCGTAGTCTTAGAGGATTGAGCTTCAGAAAAAAAAAACAGAACTTGGCTCGTATTTTCTCTCCCATTTTGTCTGATTGTAGTTGATTTGTAAGACAAAGATTTTTGTCGGATGACTTTGGGTATCGAAATACACAAATAAGTGTTGTAAGTTGATGCAAGTAATAACTGTAATTATATTTATACTATGTACAAGGTATTACAGATAATTATGGAGTAATGCGTGGATACAAAAAACCAAGCTTACCTGAATCAATTACAAGTACGCTTCCAGTAATAATAATTAATTTACACACTTAATTCATTGTGCTACAGTTAATTTTAATAATCAGCTAAAGCTGTGAGGACGTTTATTTCATATCAGCGTGCTTGCTATCAGCTCGCGCAGAGACGACTGCCTTCTTCAACCACTGCTTGTCTCCAGCCGCTCTTTGTTGTTTGACACATCTAACCATCGTGTATAAGTTTAAGTAGTCTCACACTTACATACACATATATTAAATATTGTTGTTATTAATTGTAAAAAATATTGTGGACTAAATAATGCGGCATTAGCTTTTTTTCTATCTCGATATCCATGTAAATTTTCAATTGGTTATCTCATGCTTTTATTGAACTTCTAGTTCTTGCAAGTATGTTATCGATAGTTTCATCATAATGCATGATACCATTTTTAACCACTGTTGTAATTACGTCCTCGCTTGTGCATGATTTTCGATTACAGCAAAAACAAAGTGAAGTGCATTTTAGCCCGTATTCAGCTATGTATATTTGACTTGTACTTAGGAATGTAGCAGTATGTAATTTATTTCAAAATGCTTTGGAGACTCAGTTTGGAGCTTGAATAAACTGGTATCAAACCATTTAGTATTTGCTTAAAATAGGAATGAGGTTGGGAAAAAATGGTAAAGATAATTTATCAGCTCAAAAATTTTATAAATAAACAAACTTACTATAATTCATGAAAATACATGTTCAAGTATCGTTCCTTATCTCGTAAATAAGGTGGCTAAAAAACAGCCTCTGCTAAAAAATAGGAAAACTTGAATTTCTGTTTTAGAGACTTAATATTTACAAAATAGCACAGTGATATGTAAGAAACAATACAAAAAATCGTGATTTTTAAAATAATTGTCATAGTTGAGTAAATTTAAAGTTAGAAAAATTATAACTACTAACTACTTATGAATTAAAATATAAGCTAACTAAATTATAAATTATAGCTACTTGGAACTACAATTTTTTTTTTTTCTTAGTTATAAGCTTCAATGGTTAAAATTTTGGTTTTTATTGGTGCGTTGTAAATTAACCATTATAAGTTTTATTTTTTACGTATGGTTTTTAATTGTTTAATTACTTTGCTTACAGAATGGTTATAAGACTAAAATCTACGTAATTATAAAATGTTTTCCCTACTGTTTCATAACTATGTTCCTATGTATAAAACTTCTTTAAAAACATAAATTAAGTATCATATTTTACGACACTTAAAGTTTTTTAACTTGTACAACACTGTTGTATTGAACAGAAATGGTTTTGATGTTTAATCGTTCTTCAGAATGGTATTATTAACTTGTTACAATTTAGTACCATAATATGTACAGTTTTAAAAAAGGTTATGTTCGACTTCGACTCTATTTATAAAATTATCTTTAAAATTGGTTATTTATCGTATGTACAATAAAACTTTTCTTGTGAAGTCATAAATTTGAATGAAATACACAATACCACGATTTTCTTATGAAATATGTTGCATAACGAATACATAAATTTTCATGTTCCATGAATAGGGACACGTTCCATAAACAGGGATATTTGGGCAGTGAGGAGCTCCTGCTGTATAAATGTACACTAGTATTTGCTTTGAGCGCAATTCCAAAATCGCGCCCCCACTGGAGACTTTAAGAACGATTGGTCGTCATTAGAAAAGGTAATTATGGTAAGATCGAGCTTCCGGCTCCATTCACCAGGTGGCCAAACCCTAAATGTCGCTTTTCTACAAGCATGTGGAAATCAATGCATAGTACTGTCCTTTTCTAATCACGATCAATCGTTCTCAAAGTCTCCATTGGCGGCACGATTTCAGAATTGCACTTAAAACGAATAGCTGAGCCAAGATCTGTCTGCTCCCACATGGTCGAGCAGACGCTGTATGGCGGCACATACTATTATACAGATACTACAGATTCATTGAAATTTGAATGTCTGTGCATAATGTACGCGTGTGACGACGCATCAGGATACTTATTTCAGTATTTCTGCTACAGATTTCTCTCCGTGTAGATAAAGGATTGTCACCAGTATGAATAAGCAATAGCTGCAGTAGCTGCACTGTTTCTGCATGCACATGTTTACATGTATACACATGTTGGTTAAATTAGAATTGTTAGTATATCATATAATGACGCCTTGTACGGAGTCTATCCTTATTCATATTTTCTCATTTAAATAAACATTAGAAAATCTGAATAAGGATAGACTTCGTAGGAGACATCGATACATATTATAGAGGCCAGTTTGGTGAGCTGCTTGCAAGTCAGCAGCAGCAGCACTGTACTGCATATGAATAGGTCCAATTAATAGCCACAGGAGGTAAGAGAGAGAGACCACGTGACCATGTCGCAAAATTATATCAAATTTCTGAATGTGACTCCCTAAGCTAAGATCCCAAGAGTCCTAAAAAATGCTTTGGTTCAAAAAAAAGATCACTCTACGACCTATAATTTCCGAGATAATGCTATTTTATATGGCCAGTGCGTTTTTGAAGTAGGCAGAATGGTATCCGTGTGCCTCCGTAGAGGGGTACTGACTTCAGTAACTGCGAATCCTTCGTTATCGAGGGTAGAATTATTGCTTTTCCTAGTAGTGTTGTTATGTAATAATAGCCAGCAGTATTTGTATGTAATTGATTTATTAAGAAGATAAGCAATTGATGCATACACGATAAGATCATAAAAAAAAAATTTGTGCTTTGAAGAGATACAATCAAAATAATAAAAAATTATCATAGTTACTGAGTTAGTTAAAGAAACATATATTATGACTTTGTAAAAAATTGTACCTACAATATGCACTTACTGCCAACATTGTTTGATTCAAAAAGTGGAATTTATCACAATTATTTATACCATGAAAACGTACCCGTTTTTAATACATTTTTAAATAATGTAATTTGGAATCATTATACTTTTTGAAAACTACACACCGTAGCAAATAAAGTATCTTTTAACAAAGAAAATTGAATGCATTCGTATTACTTGTGTCAAACAAATCATAACAGTGATTTCACGAGATTACCGTTGTTATAAACAAATGGCTTATTGCAATCACTATATGTTATATCGATTTAAAACTTCAAGCGATAAATGATGCTGTTAAGACAGCCACCCTACATTTGTTTTGGAAATATTAGTGTGAAGGGGTTGTTTGTTTTAAACCATCGAAAAAGACGCTTTTTTATTTTTTTTTTAAATTTGTAAGTAAATGAAACGATGGATTGCAATTAATTTTTTATTGTTTTGTAGATGTTTCAAGAGCTACGTATAACATGCAAGTTAATTTTCTGTTGACTCTATACTTTTTGCGCTATTTCAAAAAAAAAACTAATTATTTTATCATTACGAATTATAGTTCTTCTAACAGTGTTTTCTAACAAAAAAATTTAGCTGTTTTTTACGACAAATATTTCAAAGTCTTAGTTACTTCTGTATAAAAATATTTTTTTGGCTGCAGTATCTGTAAGTTTTTACTAAAAGCCTAATCACGATGTTTAACTACTCTTTCCTGTGAACAAAATAAAAGTTATTTAATATTATAATTTCAGTTGAACATGAAACTCATGACCTTATAATAATATCAGTAAGCTGTGTCTGGAACTCAATTCATTTAATTTTAACTAAGCTATCAGCTCCAAATTTTTTAATACCATGTACTTTTACATCTATTATATGTCTTCACTTTTTATTTCACTAATTTTACTATGAGCTTCAGCTACTCTATCATCGCACCACAATGTCATAGGCAGAAATACGTTGTTTAGAACTAGTGACAGTATGTTCTAAAGCGATATCATCTCTTGATACGCATCTCTTATAGCCACGTACTCAGCCTCATAAGTGAACAGAGCTACGTACGACTGTTCTCTGATCCTCCAAGAAACTGTGTTAACAAGCACGTTATAAAGAAGCAGCTTGTTGTCAGTGTACTTTTGCAGTATGCAGAGTCAGTGTCTTAAAAGCCTTGCAGATTTTCTAGGTTTCCTTGAAACTTGATTCCAAATTCTCTAATATGAGTGAGATACCTGCAGACTCGTTCTTCTAATTTTTACTCTTTCTTGATGGGACTGACTTCATGTCTTCCTAACACGTTTGCAGTATATGCTGTAAACCATGTTTGCTTGGTGTAAAAAAGGCACTATTTGTACTTTTCACGGTTCCTTTTGTTTGCCTTCTCTGTCTTACCTTTTTTTATTTGCCACTTAGTTAGTAACCGTGGCTGTTCTCTGAGAATACATCTCGCTACATCCGAGGGCTTTAACATTTGATCAATGTACTCTTCTAGATAGTGATATAGTATGATTGCGTTTTTACCACTTAAAATTTTTTTTTTTTTCAATGGCTTAGCTCTATTATGTCAATTGTCTCAGACTTGGACTTTAACTTATCTTTCATTTAATGTAGATATTTACCATCGTTACTAGAAGTCTATGTGTTATTTTTAAATAATAGAAGCATGATAAGCCCATCCGTTCCCTTGCAAGTAAACAAACGTAGTTTAAGCTAATGAGTTTTGTAGCCAAACATTACTACTATATATCTAAGTAT